CGTTTGATGGTATCTAGTATTTCTCATATATTATTCTAATTTTGGGGGGCAATTTTCTCAGTCTTCGGGGTGGATTTTTATAGACCAGCAATTCTATCTTCTACATCTGAGATTCTATTTTCTGTATGATCTAGTTTGCTTTTAATACTTTCAAGGGAGATTTTGACTTTCTGTATTATAGCCTTCATCTCTAACAAGTTCATTTGATTGTTTTTCAGAGTGTGTATCTCCTCTTTCAGATCTTACAAGAATTTCCTCACTTCTTGGAACTCGTCAGCTCCTTTCCTGCCTCTTCTGTAGTTCATTGTCTCTCTTTTCTTCTATCTCTGTTAGCTTTGTCATTATGAATATTCTAAATTCCTTATCAGACATTTCCATGAGTTTCATTGTCCTGTCTGAAGATGAAGAGCTGTTATTCTTTATCCTTGGAGGAGAGGTATTGTCTTGCTTTCCCAAATTTCTTGTGATCCCAAGGTGATGTCTAGTCATCTGATGGATGGTGCATTTCTTCCTGATTCTCGAAGTTCAATCTGAGCATTCAGAGGCGAGCAGAAGAAGATGATCTGCAATCTCTCTTCTGTTCCATGCTCACTCTTTGTGCATTCAATTCAAGGTGAAGAGAGGAATATTCTGACCCTAATCATATTCAAATGTTTGGAAACTGTTCATTTGGGCCTATCTAGACACAGTGCATAGAGGCCACTAGAAATGAGTCTGGAGGGGGAAGTCTCAGCAGAAAATCTTCATTTTTGGTCTAGGAAACCAATATTTCACAGATGAAGTATGGTATTCATCTCAGGATTGTTATTATATTTTTAATTTGCTATAGGGCACATGTGCTCATCAGAGAGAGAAAGTTAGAAAGCAAGCTGCCAGCCAGGTCAGGGACTCAAACTGTGGTTGACCATGTGGGAGCCCAGCACTTTAACCACCATGTCACCTACTGGCCCCATCACTCTTCTTTTTTAAAACCTCAAGTAGGAACAAAACACCATGAACCTCAGAAGGCTTTGGGAACCAGCAGTTAGCGTAATGGCTATGTCGCTGGACTCCCATGTAGTCGACCTCGGTTCGTGTCCCGGACCCGGTGGCTTAAAACTCACGCCGGGCGTGTGTGCGTGCGTGCCCAAGATCCCGAGAGGAGAATGGAGGAGAAGGGATTGCGGCGTGACCATCCCCCCTGGGGGGTGATTTCTCGCTTTCTGTCTCTATGTCTCTCTCTTTCTGTCTGGCGAGCGCACGCGCCCTACAGTGAAAATCTCTCTCTCAAAAAAAAAAGAAGGCTTCCTAATTACCTGCAAAATGAAGATAAGCATCTTTAACAGTATGATTATCAGAGTCTTTCTCACTTACCCCAATTTAAATTTCCAGGCTCACCTTCTCAACCTCTTCTAAGTCTATTGAATTCACACTATATTCCAGTAATTTAGGTTGTACTAGGGACATTGACCCAAGTATTCACACTGTTTCACTTGCCATTATAGAAATACATCATACTAGAGCTGGCAGGTGGCATGGTGACTGGAGTGCTGGATTCCCACATAGCTGACCATGGTTTGAATCCCAGACCTGGCAACTGGCTTTCTCATTTTCTCTCTCTCTCTCTGATCAAATTAAAATAAATAAATAAATAAAATTATTATTATTATTATTATTATTTTTTTTTTTTGCCACATTGCAATCCCTTTTCCTCCTTTCTCCTCCCGGGATCTTGGGCATGCGCACACACGCACTCGGCGTGAGTTTAAGCCACCAGGTCCAGGACTCAAACCACAGTTGACTACATGGGAGTCCAGCGATATAGCCATTATGCGAGAGAGAGAAAGTGAGAAAGCAAGCCTCCAGGTCTGGGACTTGAGCCACGGTCAGCCATGTGGGAATCCAGCGCCCTTATCCACCACACTACCTGCTGGCCCCAAATAAATAATTCTTTCTTTCTTTATTTCTTTTTTTTTTTTTTGAGAGGTTTTTGCTATAGGGCACATGCGCTCCCCAGACAGACAGAGAGAGACAAAGAGACAGAAAGCGAGAAATCATCCCCCAGAGGGGATGACCATGCCGCAATCCCTTCTCCTCCATTCTCCTCTCGGGATCTTGG